TGAGAGCGTCGCCGCTTTCGTGGAGGATGTTTTGCGCCTGAGCGCCAGCGCCGACCCTCTGGCTATAGAAGAGAAGCTGAGAATCCTCATGCGGGACGTAAGAGACAACATCTTTGGCGGCTTTGTCCGCAACTCTCTGACAACAGTCGAAAGGTTTGTCATCGAGGCTTCCAACGCCGAATCTGCCCTGCATGCCTGAGCCATTTACCGAAACACTGGAGTCGTCCAGCTGAAGCCTACGCCCTCACAGGACATCGACCAAGAGGTTGTCCAGGAGGAGCTTAGGAGGCTACTTCCGGCCGCCAGTCGCCCGGCTTCCATTGCGATTGCCGAGGCTGTTCGGGAAGAAGCTCAACGGGTTTTTGAATCGGAGACTTCTGCGAGCAAAGCGGCATCTTATGAACCGAGCGTGACCTACGCCGCAATGACACGACCACCGCCACTGGCTTCCCGTTAGTACCCGACGCCAACTCGACGCGACACCCCAGTGCCGCAGTATTCCCGACGTCCGCAAGAGCCAGTGTAGGTCCGTGCAGAGAAACATACACCGAGGACGATGGACGTGTTGCGAACGGCCGACCGGCGACCACTTTGCTACCACTGCTGTGAGGCCAACCACGTCTACCAGAAGTGCCCGTACTGAGGAATGAGCCTGCGAGGGTTCGCGCAGAAGGACCCTCAAGATAACTTGAAAGATGTGCGCAGTTTCTGTTAAAGCCCCTGTATCTGTGAAAAGTGGCGCATTCTCTTCCCTCCTCCTAAACTGCGAACGAAGATGTCTTAAACACTTCGAGGAGGTAATGATTTTAAACTCAAATAGAACACTTAATTAAAGGGTAACGTGTAGTGGATTGCTAGCTCATGTGAATGTGGTTTTCCTTATTTCTCGCATTGACACCAATAAAGCACATCTATCAAACTCGTTTTTGTGTGCATCCTTAGTATAAAAAGCTTCACTTTATATATATTCTGACAAATTTGGAGAACATAAATAAAGAAATATCTTTGAAGTAACTCTGCCTGTACCTAGGTACATTTTTAACGGAGTACCTAGGTACATACCACGGTACCTTTTCGTTTGAGTAAAGTCTTGTTCACACATGCAGCAGAGCGTTACAAGCATAGCGCTGACCTTGGGCTAAGCGCGTGCTGACTGGAGCGTTCACCAGCTTGGTATCGCACCGGCAAAACTTTTACTCGTGGCAGACGATAAAAAGCTGAAGACATGTGAGCAGCGCTACATAAGCGCTTCGCTGCATGTGAGAGACGGCCTTTACTAGGGTGCCTCAATGTCCTTCTGTTTACGGTGATGCCACCCTTTGCAGTAGCCGATGCCCACAGCACGCGCTCACGGGTAAAATACAAAGAAATCGACGAAAACAAAATGTCGCAATAGCACAGTCAGCGCCACGAACGCGTGCAGTGTCGCGCTCTTTCACGCGCTTCTGAACAAAAAATAAAAATAAAAGTGTGGGACAAAATGGCGAGATGCCACCACCCTAAGCAAAGCGCACATGAAGGCACCCTACCCTTTATTGTAACCGTATAACTAAGTACATTTTTGAAGTAACTTTTACAACAGGCTTGTAAAAGTTACTTCAAAAATGTCCTGGCTCCCTTTAAACCAGGCGGTTACCAAATAATTTCAGAAGACGAACAAAATAGGTTCATTGAGAGATAGGACACCATTTTAAATGTACAGACCACAGATCACACAAAATGACGAAAAATGGGAAAATAATAAATTCAGAGTAATATACAATGGTACAGTGATCCGTATGCCTTAGCCGTACCTAAGAAAACGACCCTAAAATAATGCCCGTACTTCTGCCAGCGTAGTTGCATGACTGCCAGCGTAGTTGCATATATTAACACCGTTTAAAATAATATATTTAATAACGTATTTTATTGTCTATTTAGTGTGTTGTTATATACTCTGTTTCACCTTATGATGTACCGCAGGAAAGGCTACAAGCACGAGCTCCTTGCCCTAAGGCACATCTCGGCGGCACAAGCTCTCGTGCATTAAGTGCAGCTCCCAACGCTATGATCTCTTGCGTCTAGCCTTCGGTGCGGTACAACATAAGGTGAAATGGAGCATAGTATAATTAATGTGATGGTGAAACGAATTTCTTTTTCTTAAGGGGGGAGTTGTATTAGGAAGTGAAAAGGACAAGGTAAGATAATTCTTCAAAATAATAATTTTTAAACTGCGTAGACTTTAAATATTCGAAATTGTAAATATTTGAAATTGTATTTATGTTAAACAATGAGAACAAATTTTCAGCATGATCACAGTATAAACATTGGCAAATGCGCGCACAGCTTTGATTTGTAAAATGTGTAGTTTATTTGTATTTGTTTCTGTTATTTTTCCACAAACTTGAAGACAATAATGTTAGGGTGCCAGGCATCGAGGCTCTCGGCACGACCTTACGGCGTCTCACTTATACTAACTGGCTCCTAGACTTATTTGCGTATAGTTTGAGGCCACTAATGGCGGATAGTTTCAACTCTTCTCAACATGAGTATCTTAATCCCTGTTGTCAAAATAAAGGCAAGCGCTGTGATATGTAATCACTACAAGTATTCAAGCATATGCAATATAAAGGTATTTTGTCTTGTTTATAGGCGTCTAATAACTGTTATGACAACCAGCCTTGCTCTGTTCATGGCGCAGAAAACAAACGCCATCTTGACGCTTTAAACACGCGCCAGATTTAGCCGCCATTGCCGACCTTCTCTGGTCTTAGCGAGATTACAGTGTACTAGAATCCGTGCTAGTGTTTAAACACAGTTGGTGCATATCTTCAATTTTTGAGAATAGGCAGCAACTAGCCCGCATCGGCACCTTAGTACGAAACTCACCCAAGGTGCAGTGGTCGCGGGATGCAAAAGAAATCGTGATTTCAGAATGGAAGGGAGGTGGATTGGACAGCGCACAAAGAGTCACCAGGCGTGAAGCCAATTGTACAGCAAAAGGCACAGCCACTTATGCAACACATGCCTGAAGTTGCTGCATTGACGCAAAAAAATTACCAGCAAAATGTGCGGATTACAGGGTGAAGTGATTTGTGGACCGCTATTTTTGCCGACCCGCGAATCTCAGCCAGCCTTGCAGATTCAGCGCATCGGACGACAGTGGCCGCACATGACGTATGATCTCAAGACGCCAGTGGGTGCCATCAAAGATATGAGGTCAGTCAAAGTCGCCGCTCAACCCAACTGAATACTGTCATGCCAAGAGCTGGAGCGTCATCCCACAACAAGCAGCATAAGCACTATAACATAATGTCTGGCCCGAGACTCGCAAAAAGAACTTATTATGGGACCGTACGATAAGTATCTGTAAGGAGATAATCAAGTGGAAATAAACATGTTCGATATACTAACCAAATACACTCCTATTCACACTGCAGCCTTTACTCCTTCATTGTCAATACCACCAAGGATCGTGTTCACTGAAGCAGTGGAGCTTTTGTGGGCACTCAACTTTTTGACCCCCCCCCCCCCCCCCCCCCCGGTGTGCATAAATAGGACAAACCAGGCTGGCGGTGTAGGCAGATTTGTTGCATGTGGGATGAAACTCCTTCCACCTCTCCTGAAGCTGTGCTGTATACCGAATAAAATTCCGCTGATTGGAAAATAAGATTTATTCATTTATTCCCTTCAAGGGCTCTCGTACGCACTGCAGAGAGGATGTTCTAAACTATGAATACATGAAAAACATTGTAACACACTGGCAATAATAAGCATAAAACAGGCACTTTCAAACTTCTGGTACCTCGTTGGCGCGGCCCAGGCGCGGCCATTGTGATTTCGGTGACGATAAGACTTTTGCTATGTCTCTCTTGCTTTAATTCGTGAGAAGAGTTATGATTATTGTTTATTTACTCTAAAAATAAAAAGAAGGGCATTATCTTTTGTGTTAAACGTTGATAATTACTTTAATTTTGCATATTATTTATTTGCATAACTCTTTAAAAAAGGTAGTTTGGCATAACTTTGACTTTCCTTTCGGCTCCGGAGAGCCGCAGCACTCTCCAGATCATGACAAAAAACATGGAATTTCTAGAAATTCAGATAGTCTGGTCACCGGGGCACGAGAACCTGGCGGGAAATAAGGCGGGCCACGCCGTGGCTCGAGATTATACCTTGCGGGCCTTCCAGCCGATCAATCGAGCCCTGTAGAGCCGGAATGAAGGCGTCCTCAAAAGAAGTGCACATATATTAGAAAATCATCGACTTGGAAGAAGGGTCCATTCACCACCCCACCCGAAGATATCCAGGGAAGAGGCAGTTCCTTGGAGGTAACTGCAAACCAACACTTATCCACATGGTACACTCTACCATTTTAGACATCCAGCCTGCTACGAATATGACTGCAAGGCCTATGAGGTGCCCAACAACCGTTACCATATGGTACGGGGATACCAGGGCAGCACGGCGATACAACCCATAGTGAGACCAACGGGAGAGCAGTGGGAGAGTCGGCTAACTAGCGTGGACCCTGATGAACAGATCGAGTAGATTGACAGGGCCCGGCAAGAAGCCAAGGACCATGGTGACCTGGACTGAGGAGACGACCCACCACAAGATGAAGACAGTGTCTGCTATTGATAAATGAAAGTTTGTTCTCTCTCGCTCTCTTCTTTCGGCAGAGGGAAACCTTGCGGGTAGTCTTCGCAGACGTATGTTCGCACCAGCCCTTGTCAGTTAGCAAAGCGCCATCAGCTCAACTGTAATCGAAAGTTGAAGTTCTTAGGCTTATGAACTGTGTAACAGCGGACAACCTATTTGAGCTCAGTGACAAATGGGAGATGCGAACAATCGCTGGCTCAGTGATCGGTGAAACGGCACGTGTAGCAGGGGTATTAGTCGTACCGAGTCATTTCGTCGTAATGCGGCTATCCGTCGTATTCCCCGCTTAGTAACAATGCATTATCCGTCTAATTACTCACTTAGGAGTAATGCGATCATCCGTCGTAGTGACACTATCCCTATTTTATATAGTCTTCGCAGCTCACTACTTTGTACAGGTCGTTCCTCCTGTGTTTGGCCAGAGGATTGCGATTCCTAATTGAAGTCAGATTGTCCAAGTTCACCTCAGCAAGCACAAGTTCTTCTCCAATCCCAGCCGACTTGACCACTTTACCAGACGGATCCACCAGCATACTGTGTCCCCAAACCACGTACGAGGCTGTTTCGTTCCTCGCAGGCGACACTAACACCAGGTAGACTTGGTTGTCAAGCGCTTTACTCCTAGAGAGCAGTTCGGAGAGCATCGGACCAGTCGTCATGTTGAAAGCTGCTGGATATACCAGCAGCTTGCAACCAAGCTGCGCGTATATCTGCGCCAAGGGCGCAAACCGAAGGTCATAGCATATCCCGACACCCACTTTGCAGAATGGAGTGTCGAAAGTGGTGAACTTGTTGCCCGCTGTGAAGAAATCGGACTCCCGGAAGGTGATTTTGCCAGGAATGTCGATGTCATATAGGTGTAGCTTACGGTGCTTGGCCAGCATCGAACCGTCCGGTCCGTACACAAGGCAGGTATTATAGAGTTTGCCGTTCTCCTTCTCTGACAATGTGCCTCCGACGAGGTAGACGTTGTTTTCTTCGGCGCACCTTGACAACATTTTGCTTGTCTCGCCGGGAATCGGCTCTGCGTTCTCCAAGACGTAGCGCGTGTCGAACGGAAAGCTGAAGTCTTCTGGGAGGCAGACCATCTGGGCCCCCATGGATGCCACCTCTCTAATTTTCTTACTTACATTATTGAGGTTTTCCGCTTTGCTGTGTCTCACCAGGAGCTGGAGTAAGGCCAGGCAAAACTTGTTCGTTGACATTTCCGTTGGACTTCGCGCAAACAATGTAGTGGTGTCACGGTCTGCACAATTGTTGCGGCGCAGCCGCAGCGAACTTCTCCCTGTAAGGATGGAAGCACAAAGCAGCGTCTGCGCGCTTGGCTCCTCTCCCTTTTTTTTTCTCCTTGCCACGTTAGATACACGCGCCCCTGATAAGGTAGGCTCCGTGCGCTTGAACAGAGTGTGCTAGAGCCACTAAATGAGCTGCGCTTCAGAGTAACGCCACTTCAGCCATCTTGGTGCTTAAAATCATGGTTGCCAGTTAGCTGAAGTTTTATCTGAAATCGCAGGAAACACTGTTCCGTCCACCAGAGAAGTTAAAACAGTTCCCGACAGGAGAAAATATATCTCGCCTGAACTTCCTGACACCGCGTCTAAAGCTGAGAAAGTCGCACTTTTTAATTGTGACAACCGACAGTTGCGTCTGCTTAGCACTAAGCAAATAAAAAAAAAATGGTTGCGCACACTATCAGATCAGGGAACGGAGTGCCGAAACTTTAAGCGTAGCTCGTTTAGTAGCTATAGTTTGCGCCACTTAAGCCGAGATCAGACTATACATACATCAAAAAAAGACAGTCTGCAAACACGAGCCACCGCCGCAGTATCCATAGTTTGGAAATCTCATGCCAAGTTTCTTCTTTAACTATTGCCATACGGCATTCGAAGCACAGACTTCGCGGTGACCCGTGGTCAAATCTGTATGCAGACTGCCTTTTGTATGATGTAGAAGCAGAAGCAGTGTTACCCTGGCTTTAGAACGGTTGCACCATCGCCGCATAGCGCAAATCTGAGCTTAGCCGGGATTTTAAGCTGAGTTTTGGTTTCTTCCTGCTGCACTAAAATCGCTTGGCTCTAGGGCTAGAACTAAACCACGCTTATCGCAAGCGCTCAACATTGGACGCTTTACTTTTGATTAGGCTTTTAAAATAGGTATACAAAAATAATAAGGTTGGTGTAACGTAGGAAGCAGAAATAACTTAACCTGCAGAAATAAAAAGAGGAGTCGTGCAGGGTTTTCCCCTATCACGTCTACTTCTTGTAATATACTTGAGTAGAATATAAAAAAAAATTAGAATAGTGCAATTTAGGATTTTATTTGTCATATATAAAAAAAGAAGGCAAGCAAACCAAGTTATTACAGGAATGTTCTACGCAGACGACATTGTACTGTCGGCAGATAGCCGGGACAGGTTACAGGAGCTGAATAAGATCTGTGCAGAGGGACCAGACTCTCTGGGCCTGAAATTCACTAGCGACAAGTTGGAAATAAGGGTTTATGACGAAGAGAAGGGAGACCCACTGAGAATTGAAGATGTTTTAATAGAACGCGTAGAGAAGTAGAAATACCTGGGAGGATGGGTGAATGAGGGAAAACAATACTTAGAAGAACAGAAAGGAAATATGCTAAAGGCAGGAAAAAGCAATTCAGCAATCATGAAGAATAGGACAATAGGGTATTACAATAGATATGAAGTTGTTATGGGAATATGGAAAGGAGTCATGTAACCGGCGTTGTCTTATGGCAATGCAGTATTATGCATTAAATCTGAGGTCCAGTCGAGCTTAGAGTGTCGGCAGGGGGGCGCGGGCAGACTGACACTGGGGGCGCATGGGAATACACGAGATGAGGGAGTGCACTCAGACACGGGCTGGGCATCTTTCGAGGCTGGAGAGGCGATTGGTAAGCTGACAGTCGAACAAATACTGGACGCAATTGAGGATACACGATGGGCGAGAAAGGTATATACAGCCGGAAAGCTATGGGCGTATTTTGGCTCGAGCACCTGGGCACCGAACAAATTCGTGCGCGTGCCCTCTTTTATTTCTTCTTATATGCCATGAAAAGCTGCCACTGAGTGGCGATCCCCTGTACCGTGGTCACGGAGGCCAACACAACCGCCGCCTCCTTTTCTTACTTTTTTTCTTGCTCGGTCTTCGAGCTGCCTTCCTGAAGTGCTGGAAATCGGAGATGGCTTGCAGCGTGTTATACTACCTGCTACCGCTCGAAGAGCTGTCGTGACAAGAACTTAAGGAACTTTATTTTTTTATACGGATCATGTGAGCCAAGTCGAAACGTTTAAAGGACTCTTCCGTTTCGAAAAATACGACCTGGATGAGCTTTTGGATCGTTTGAAGATGCCTGTCGAGGTAATGAGCGCGCAGAATATTAATAATCAGAAATCTTTATTTTGTTTCATCACTGAAACGGGGGTACCAGAACAAAATGCTCTTGCAGCAGCTTGGCCGAGGTCCTGGACAGGGCCAGGGTTGTAAAGTACCTAGGTACAAGTAACTGGGAATCGGTATCTAGGTGCTTTTATGGTACCTGAGGTACAAACTTAGGTACATTCATTTCTCGGAATCTGTGTCTGTACCTTAGCTACATTTTACAGTAAATTGTAACTAAGTGAAGTTACTTTTTACAGTTACTTTTCTATTCACTTCGTCAAAACTGTAGAAACTGTAAACCTTGAAGTATTAACACAATACGCACCATGTGCCGTAATTAACGCTGAGTTTGGTACAACGTGCGAAGCACAGACGTGATCGAACGACATTTTAGCGAACGAAGCCCCCCCGCTCATGATGTTTCATCGAACGACACTTTAGCAAATTGGGGTGTTCATTTGAGTGAACAATGGATTAGCGATGGCATTCTAGTGACACCAATTTATCGAATCGCTTTGGAGCTCCATTCAGAGAAAATAGCGACCTGTTTTCATCATCTCAAACCGAAATCGACTTCATTGCGTGTTTGAAGCTTTTCCGACAGCTTTACAAGGAAGGAGATAACTTGAAAGGTGTGCACAGTTTCTGTTAAAGCCCCTGTATCTGGGAAACGTGGCGCATTCTCTTCCCCTCTCCTAAATTGCGATCGAAGATGTCAAATAAACACTTCAAGAAGGTCCTGATTTTAAAGTCAAATAGAGCACTTAAGTCAACAAGACAACGTGTCCTGGAATTCTTATGTGAATGCGGTTTTCCTTATTCCTCGCATTAACACCTATTAAGCACATCTAACGAACTCGTTTTGGCGTGTATCCTTAGTATAAAAAACTTTACTTCCAATATATTTTGACATATTTGTGAAAAATAAATAAATAAAGTACCTATAAGCACATTTTTAAGCGGGTACCTAGGTATATTTTTAGGTAACTTTTACTGTAACTGTTACTGTATCTAAGGTACATTTTGAAGTAACTTTGACAACCCTGGTCCTGTCCCCTTACAGCAAGCGATTCCCAAACAATTTCAGATATCGAACAAATATATACAGTTCCAGAAAATGACACTAATCTAAATTAACAGAACACAGATGATACAGAATGATGAAAAAAATGGAAATGACTAAATTTATAGTAGTATACAATTGTACAGTAATCCGTATGACTTAACTCTACCAAAAAACAATTCTAAAATAACGTTCGTGTCTCTGCCATCGACATTGCGTGAATATCAACACCCTTTAAAAATAATTCACTTAATAAAGCGTTCAATTATCTGTTTAGTGTGGTGTATTAGTATAATCTATGTGATGTTTAAAAGGACAATTTTTCTTTAGGGGGGAGTTGATGAGGAAGTGAAGAATTGAAGCTAACATAATTCCTCAAATTATTTATAAACTGCGTAGAATTCTTCTACGCCACAAGAAGTCGGGACCTGCAAATATTTTACATTGGATTTATATTAAACAATAAAAACAGGTGTTCTGTATGATCATAGTATGAAGCATTGGCTATAGTGCGCGCAGCTTTGTTTTGTAAAATATATAGTTTATTCGTATTTGTTTTTGTTCTCTTCCTTCAAACTGAATGACAATAATGTGAGGGTGCCGGACATCGAGGCTCTCGGCAATAATATATGTTAATGACATTGCGCAAGCCAGTGATGATTCTTTTACGGTACGATTATTTGCCGATGACTGTCTTCTTTACACAGATATATCAAAACTAGCGATTATCAAACTTATCTGGACAGCACTCTACAGAAAATTGGGTCATGGTGCCAAGAATGGGGGTTAGTAATTAATATTAACAAAACTGTACTTCTAAGGATATCAAATAAGAAAACTATTCTACCTTACGTATACACAGTTAACAGGTCTCCTTTAAGAGAAGTAAATAGCTATAAATATTTGGGTGTAACAATTGAAAATACCTTAAAACGGGGGAGCCACGTCAACAACATCTGCTGTTCTGCTAAGTGTACGTTAGGATACTTGAAAAGGAATTTTAGGTATGTGACTACGAGTGCCAAGCTGATGGTCTACAAGACAGTCATACGACAGTATCAGAGTATGCAAATGTAATATGGGACCCCCATCAGAAAAATCACATTCAGAAATTAGAGAACGTTCAGAGACTTTCAGCTCGGTATATATTCTCCAGATACAAACAAACCGACTCTGTCACTGGCATGTTAAAACAGCTTGACCTTATGCCTCTTTCTGAGCGGCGCAGGAATGCTAGACTAAAGTATATTTTTATGATGTATCATGGTATTTTCAACATTGACTACACCCTGTATTTGAAACCCCGTATAACTCGCATTCTAAGAAATAGCCGTTCTTGACCAAGCCTTTTCAAAGTAGAGTCAATATATTTCACTGTTCTCTCTTACCTGAAACAATGGATGAATGAAACGTTCTACCACAGGAAATTGTGAACTCAAGTTCCCCTACAAAGTTTTCAAATAATTTCAAGCGCTTGCACTTAAAACTAGTTTGTTCATTGTTAGTGGTGCATACCGTTTGCTAGTTTAATAATGTTGTCTTTGTAATATGATTGCAAATTATACTTGTAGATGCGGCGTTTCTCGTTTTCCTGCTGCAGTTTATTTCTGTACATTTTTACTCTCTTGTAATGTATGCGGTGGTCTTGTTTTGCTGCTGCTGTTTATTACCATACTTTTCTTGTTCCTCTCACGCAATGACCCCAAGAGGGGTTAGCAGTATTGTGAGATAAATAAATAGATGACTCTTC